GACTAATCCTTCTCAAATGCTTACTGCAACATCCAGGTTTTCAGAACCCTTTGAAAGGGGGACAGTGTGGGGGCTTACCTAATCTCCCTGGGAAGGATGTTCCAAAATCAGGAGGCCACCACCAAGAAGGCCCGCTCCCTTGTCCCCACCAGCCTTACTTGCAATGGTGATGGAAGTGAGAGGAGGGCCTCCCCAGTGGATTTTAGAGCCTGTGCCAGTTCATAGGGGGAGAGGTGGTCATGAAGATAAGTGGGACCTGAACAGTTTAGGGCTTTGTAGGTCATAATCTGCACCTTGAATTGGGACTGGAAACCTACCAGCAGCCTGTGGAGCTGCTTTAATAGGGGTGAAGTACACTCCCTACAATTAGCTCCAGTTAGAAGCCTGGCTACCAAGCTTTGCACCAGTTGCAGTTTCTGGGATGTCTTCAAAGGCAGCCACATGTAGAGATCCATTGTATACAGACAGGATTCTGATCCCTGAGTGCTGAGGATGGGAAGTAGCATGATGAACCAGTAACAAATAGCTGAGCAGTTAAATCATCTTAGATCATGACCTCAATGCATCCATGAGGAATTTCTAGCCTTCAGGCCTAACCTGTACTGCACAGCTCCTTGATTCTATTTTCAGGATACACCTTTTCACAGGTCTTTCTCCATAACTTTGATCTCCCTCTTGATTTGTCATGAGGAGAACCACTTGGAGGCATGCATCATGAGGCTGTGTGGCTCAGTTGGTGCTCCTTGCCTTCACTAATTATGATCTGAACTCAGAGTGAGAGGGATCAAGGCTAGCCTTTTCCATTTTCTTCCTAATCCTTAAAAAGGTACAGCTTTCATTCAGCTTGTGGCATTCCTACATATGCATTGCCCCTAGAGAGGGATCTGTGAAGCCTGGCAAAAAGCAGGCACAATTCCTTGATGCCACATGGCTTCACATGCCCCATGTTCTAAAGAGGAAAGATCCCATATGTAATCTAATCAGTTGGTGAAAGCCTATAGTGAAAAAGGTTGGTCCCTGACTATTTATTTATTTATGGCATTTATATGCCGCCCTTCTCACCCCGAAGGGGACTCAGAGTGGCTTACAAGATAGATATGTATATTATTAGCATAGCACAATATCAGTTTTATATATTACTATATTGTACTATGCCATTATATTGTAATATTGTTAGTAATATTACGTGTAATATAAAATATATAATTATAATATTGTATTATTATAATATTGTATTACATTATAATATTATAATATTATAAGTGTGTATATATATATATATATATAGTGTGTGTGTGTGTGTGTATACATACTATGACGTTGGTAATGTACCCAATACTTCTGAATGCCCCAGTATCCTGATTATGGTGTACCTGGCACCCTGGCCTCACCTGCCCCATAGAAAGATCTGGGGTGAGGAGGAATCCAGTCCCCTACCTATAAAAGATTCCTAACTCAAGGCTTAATGGCATTCCAGCTCTTTGGGTGGTAATGTGTATTACTTTACTTTCTTCAAGAATTTAGAAAGTTATTAGGACTGCATTGTAGATCTTGCCTATTCATTTTGTCAAGTTGGGCCCTACACTTAATCTGTCTTTTTATTGGAAGAAAGAAGAAAATTAATTCAATAAAACTGTGCCTAAAACTGCAGTCAGGCACCAGTCTTCAAAGAGCTAGTGCTCATCTCTAATGAAACTTGCTGCAGAATAGACATGCATATATAATGTGGGGAAAAACCCACGTTCCCCTCCTTCAGAGGTATTGTTTGACTCACATAAGAAGAAAATTAATTAAGTGATCAGAATGTAATCTTATGCATGTTTACTCAGATATAAATGCCCTTAGCTAGGAGGTGAAAGCAGCAGCAAAAATACGTTCTTGAGCATTATGCAAAGTGTATCCAGTATCCCCCTATACATTACCTTTTGCCAGTTGCATTAACAGCAACCAGAGTGCACCTGGGTGGGTACAACTCCATCCCTCACCCAAATGGGGTGCCACCCATCACTTCCTCTGAAATAAGAGAATGCATAAAAAGTATAAACATTCTACAAAAGGGACAAAACTTTCAATTCATGAGTAGACTAAGGGCCCTTCCACACAGTCATATAACCCAGAATATCAAGGCAGAAAATCCCACAGTATCTGCTTTGAACTGAGTTATCTGAGTCCATACTGCCATTTATTCCAGTTCAAAGCATATAATGTGGGATTTTATTCAATGGGATTATCTGGCAGTATGGACTCACATAATCCAGTTCAAAGCAGATATTGTGGATTATATGCTTGATATTCTGGGTTATATGGCTGTGAGGAAATGCTCAAATATTAGAAACACTGGGGAAGGCAGATTCGTACAGCACAACATCTATGGGCATTTCCTTTCCACACACTGCACCCAGTCACCATGAAGTGGACATTATCCAGTGCAGGGCAAAGGAGGAGACTTCACCCATCAGATCTCCAGTGTTAAGTACAACACTGAGCTCTCTATGCTGCCAGAATCCTATCAGATGGTGCCCAGAAACATAATGGGATTTATTACTGAGCATGGCATAGTTGGTTTGACCATTGGACTGCGACTATAAAGACTAGAATTCGATTCCCCACTTGGCCAAGGAAACCCACTGGATGATCTTGGGTAAGTCATATTCTCTCAGCCCCGGAAAACCCCATGCCAGTGTCTTCATAAGTCAAAAAACTTATTGAAAGCACACAATAACAACAGAGAAAAGGACAGCACAAAGTTTGCCAATGGAATGAAAAATTGTCATAGTCTCAACGTTTTCTATTGCAGTCCTCCTGCTGAATATAGGTTGTGTGTCTGAATCATGTTATGCCTTGGGTTTTGGACACCGCATGCCTGCTTCGGAAACAACACCCACGCACGCATGGGGCTAGCTGAAGATGTTTGCTGCTTGAGGCAGAACAGCAAATGGCATCCTCATTCATCCAAAGGAAGGGAGTGTGTATGGGTGGGTATAACACGCACAGCTAGTCCATTTATTGTGGTACATCATGGAAAAAAACTCTGCAAAAACCACCTCCCTCTCTCCTCTGCAGTAAAAATAACCATTTGCTTCCCTGGCATGACAGGCCCCAATTAGGCTGCCTGAGGCTATAGCTTCTTACTTTGCCAAAATGTTGTTGAGCCACGATAGCGCCCCCACTTCCCAGAAGATTTCTAGTTCATCAAGGGCTTAGAAATAAATACAATATATGATTTTTCCTTTTTTAAAAAGAGCCTTTAATCATCATCATCATCATCATCTTTATTTATACCCCACCACCATCTCATGCAGGTTTATGGTAGGAGATGCACTCACAAAGGTAGGTGGGTCCCAAACCATTCAGGGCTTTATAGATGATAACCTGCACCTTGAATTGGGACTGGAAGATGAACAGCAGCCAATGGAGCTCCCTGAACAGGGGAGTTGATTGCTCCCTGTAATTTGCCCCAGTGAGTAGTCTGGCTGCCAAACATTGGACCAATTGGAGTTTCCGGGCCATCTTCAAGGGAAGCCCCATGTAAAGTGCATTGCAATAGTCCAGTCTAGAGGTAACTAAGGTGTGAACCACCGTGGTCAAGTCAGACTTCACAGCTGGTGCACGAGTTTTAATTGTGTAAAGGCCCTCCTAGCCACAGCTGACACCTGCACATCAAGCATCAGTGCTGAGTCTAGGAGGAGCCCCAAGCTGCGGACCTGTGTCTTCAGGGGGAGTGCAACCCTGTCAAGCACAAGTTGGCACCCTATACCCAAGTCAGATGTGCGACTGACCTGGAGGACCTCTGTCTTGTCGGGAGAAATATTCAGATTGTTTGCCCTCATCCAAATCGACAAAGCAGCCAGGCACTGGCCCAGCATCTGAGGGGCTTCCTTGGATTCCAGTGGAAAAGAGTTGTGGAGTTGGGAGTAATTTGTGCAAGATTTGTGCAAGTTCAACATTTCAGAAGATTGAGTCTGCGCTACCACCAGCTGTAAACCCCTAAACTTTATCATTTCTAATCCTTTAATAAATTTTATCTATTTTTCATGACTCTTGTATAGAAAATGTATAAACTGCTTTATAAAATGTATCAAGGCATAGCCCAGAGACAGTCAGCTCTCCAGGACCCAGCAAAGATAATCCCCTGAGAACAGGAAGGCTGGGCAAACCCTTCCAGCTGTTTCCCAAGCCTGGTAATCATCGGACCCATCCTTTATGTGTAGGCAAAGATAGGTGTCAGGCCAAAGAAACCCAAAACTATTTGTCTTGCGATATGGTTCACCTGAAGCTGATTTGCAAGATTTATTTTAATTCACTGGACCAAATTTTGGCCTAAATCCCTGATACGCCCAAATTTAAATACTGGTGGGGTTGGGGGTGGGGTGGGGTTGATTTTGTCATATGGGAGTTGTTGTTGGGATTTAGAGTTAACCTACAATCAAAGACCATTCTGAACTCCACCAATGATGGAATTAAACCAAACTTGGCACACAGAACTCCCACGACCAACAGAAAATAATAGAAGGATTTGGTGGGCATTGACGTTGAGTTGTAGTTCACCTACATCCAGAGAGCACTGTGGACTCAAACAAGGATGAATCTGGACCAAACTTGGCACGAATACTCAATATGTCCAAATGTGAACACTGGTGGAGTTTGGGGAAAATAGACCTTGACATTTGGGAGTTGTAGTTGCTGGGATTTATAGTTCACCTACAATCAAAGAGCATTCTGAACCCCAGCTAGGATAGAATTGGGCCAAACTTCCCACAAGGAACCCCCATGGCCAACAGAAAATACTGGGTTTTCTGATGGTCTTTGGCGACCCCTCTGACACCCCCTCACAACCCCCCCTAGGGGTCCCGACCTCCAGGTTGAGCAACACTGACCTAGAGGCACCCTCTGTATCCACGGATCCCTCCAGGCGTGTGTAGATGTGATGGACGAGACCTCCCTCCCCCGCTTCCCTGATGCTTTTGCGGCGCGGCGGGCTTTACTTCCATGTTGTGTCCCTGCCCAGCGGCGCCTCTCAAGGCAGGATGGGCTCGGGGACAGCCCGCCAGGCACCCTTTCTCCCTCTTTTCCTCCTCCTCTTTCTTCTTCCTCCCCGGGGACGGCGGGAGGGGAGGGCTTCGCCGGAGCTCCTCAAGAAGCCGCCCGAGTTCCCGCCTCCTCCTCTCCCTCCTCCTCCTCCTCCTCCTCCTCCTCCTGGCCTTCCTCTCTCCTCTCCCTCCGCCAGCTGGAGCAGCTGGTGCCTTACGCGCGGCGGCGCCTCCTTCGCCAGGTTGCCTCTTCGGACGCAGTGAAAGAGGGAAGGAAGGAAGGAAGGAAAGGAAGGAAGGAAGGAAGGAGAGGCGGCAAGGCTGCTGCTGCTGCCTCTTCTCTCCCCCGTCCTCCTCCTCCGCTTCCTTCTCCGTCGCTCCATTCTTTCCTCGGTTTCCTTTTCCAAAAGGGGTAAGTCCTGCAGGCAAAGTTTCCTCCTCGGGGCGCGGGGCAGAGGCAGGCAGGCGCTCCGGAGCTGAGCGCGCCTCCTTGCCTTCCTCCTTTCCTTCCTGCTTTCCTGCCTTCTTCCCTTCCTTCTTTCCTTCCTTCCTTCCTTTGGGAGCCGCTCTTATGCAACCTCTTCGCGCGCCTCCGCTCGGGCGCCTCTACACCGGAGGACGAAGGCAGCTTGACACCACTATCTGCCTGCCCAGGGCTCCAGGCTAAGGGAATGCCCAGGAGCTGGAGTTTGACGAGGGCAGAGAGGGTGAAAAGACCTTGCAAAACTACAACTCCATGGGTTCCATAGCGTAGAGCCGCGGCAATGTCAGAGCTGCATTCCTTCCACTGTGTTGATGCTCTCACCGTCAGGTGGCTGCTCATGGCTGAGAGGTGGCCCGTCTCGTTTTGGGAAATTGGGGAAGGGGAAGGGACCTTGCAAAACTACAACTCCATGGCTTTCATAGCGTGGAGCAGCGGCAATGTCAGAGCTGCATTCCTTCCACTGTGTTGATGCTCCCACAGTCAGGTGGCTGCTCATGGCTGAGAGCTGGCCGGCCCCGTTTTAGAAATTGGGGAAGTGGGGGGACCTTGCAAAACTACAACTCCATGAGCTCCATAGCATGGAACCGCGGCAGTGTCAAAGCTGCATTCCTTCCACTGTGTTGATGCTCCCACAGTCGGGTGGCTAAGAGGCAGCCGGCCTGGGGAATTGGGAATTGGGAAGGAGGACAGGACGACTCTGGATGCCTCCACACAGTAGAATGAAGGCACTTTGACACCACTTTCCCTTCCCTGGTGCCTCACCAAGCTACAAATCCCAGGATTGTATAGCATTGAACAACAGCAGGTATTGTGGTGTCAAGCTGTATCACTTCCACAGTCTAGATCAGTGTTTCTCAGCCTTCCTAATGCCATGACCCCTTAATACAGTTCCTCATGTTGTGGTGACCCCCAACCATAACATTGTTTTTATTGCTTCTTCATAACTGCAATGTTGCTCCTGTTATAAATCATCATGTAAATATCTGATATGCAGGATGTATTTTCATTCACTGGACCAAATTTGGCACAAATTCCCGATACACTCAAAATTGAATACTTGTGAGGTTGAGGGGGGGGGGGGGAATTGATTTTGTCATTTGGGAGTTGTAGCTGCTGAGATTTATAGTTCACCTACAATCAAAGAGCATTCTGAACTCCACCAACGATAGAATTGAACCAAACTTGGCACACAGAACTCCTAAGGCCTACAGAAAATATTGGAAGGGTATGGCGGGCATTGACCTTGAGTTTTGGAGCTGTAGTTCACCTACATCCAGAGAACACTGTGGACTCAAATAATGATAGATCTGTACCAAATTTGGCACGAGCACTCAATATGCCCAAATGTGAACACTGGTGGCATTTGGGGAAAATAGACCGTGACATTTGGGAGTTGTAGCTGTTGGGATTTATAGTTCACCTACAATCAAAGAGAATTCTGAACCCCACCAACAACAGAATAAGGCCAAACTTTCCACACAGAACCCCCATGACCAACAGAAAATACTGTGTTTTCCGATGGTATTTGGTGTCCCCTCTGACACCCCCCATGACCCACCCAGAGGTTGAGAAACAGTGGTAGATGCACCTTCCATCCTTTAGAAAGCCAGGGAAGGCACTGTTGCTCCACTCTGCTACTTAGGCCCTGGGTTCAAGTTCTCAGGAGTCAATGGGAATTGAGTTGGCATCTCTGGCTTTCTCCAAAGCAGGCTAAAGGGGTCACTTGCTCAAGAGGAAGAGATGTCAAGGTCTACATATGCATCTACACCAGGCATGGACAAACTTTGGCCCTACAGGTGTTTTGGACTCCGACTCCCACCATTCCTAACAGCCTCAGCCCCCTTCCTTTTCTTCTCCTTCTCCCCTTAATCAGGTGAGGGGGAAAAGGAAGGGACCTGAGGCTGTTAGGAATGATGGGAGTTGAAGTCCAAACACCTGGAGGGCTAAAGTTTACCCATGCCTGATCTACATTGTAGAACTAATGCAGGCAGATGCCACTTTAACTGCCTTCTCAATGCTGTGGAATCCCGGGAGTTAGAGTCTTACAAGATCTGTAGCCTTCTCTGCCTCACCAAACTACAAATTCCAGCATTCCACAGCATTGAATGATGGCAGTTAAACTGCATTTATTCTACATCTAGATGCTTCCTATAGTTCAAGGTTGTCCGAAGCCCCGGAGAGAGGGTTGGGAAGAGTAAGAATAGTACTATGCCTCGACTTGGTACTAGTTTTACTCACATCTGAATGTTTTGGATGGTGGGTGGCCAAAGGAAAAAGCTGTCTGTACAGGCATTTCTCCTGCTGGAAGGGTTATCATTTTAAGCAGGTGGGTGAGAAGGAGGAGGAATGTTAATTTATGACACCCTGTCGCTGTTGTACTAGCTCTATGTACAAATGTTTTTATGGATCAGTGGCAAACGAAAGAGCTGTTTGCATACTACTCAGTGGGAGGGTTATAATTTTAGGTACTGGAACTGCAAATACACTTGGAGGCACCCCTTATTCGGATATCCAAAACATTCTCAAATTGTCCACATAAAGGATACAATTGCTTTCTGATAGTTCAGTACACACAAATGTCATTTCGTGAACAAATTCATGCTTCAAAAGTGTATAAAATTACCTTCATGCTTTGTGTGTAGGTGTGTAGGAAACATAAATGAATTTCATAAAGCTGGGTTGCTGTGAGCTTTCTGGACTGTATGGCCATGTCCTAGAAGCATTCTTTCCTGACATTTCGCTTGCATCTATGGCAGACATCCTCAGAAATTGTGAGGTCTGTTGAAAACTAGGCAAGCAGTGTTTATGTCCAGGGTGGAAGAAACAACTCTTGTCTGTTTGAGGTAAGTGTGGATGGTGCAATTGGCCATTCTGATGAGCACTGAATAGCCTTGTGGCTTCAAGGTCTGGCTGCTTACCACCTGGGAGAATCTTTGTTGGTAGGTGTTAGCTGGCCCTGATTGTTCATGAAAATGAACCAAATCTGGCTATCAGTATTTAAAAAAGACAGTAAATGTAGAGGAACACTCAAACAACAGGGGAATTCCAGACAGGAAACAATCAAGGCCAGCTAACACCTACCAACAAAGGAGTATGCCAGGCAAGAAGCAGCCAGACCTTGAAGCTTCAAGGCTATTCAGTGATAGCATTCACACTTGCCTCCAACAGAAAAGAGTTCTTTCTCCCACCCTGGACATTCCACAGATATATAAACCCCACTTGCCTAGTTTCCAACAGGCCCCTCAACCTCTGAGGATGCCTGCCATAGGTGCAGGTGAAACATCAGGAGAGAATACTTCTGGAACATGGCCATACAGCCCGGAAAACTCACAGCAGCCCCGTGATTCCGGCCATGAAAGCCTTCAATTTCATAAAGCTCTTGCTGCCTGGATTGAAGTCTGAAATGCACTCCAGCTTTTTGAATTGGAAAAGAAACCTGGATGAAGCTGGAAAACCACCCAACAGTGGTTTCTATAGGGACGGAGCACAGCTAGTTAAGCAGAGAGCCAGATTTGGCACCAAGGTCTGGGCTGTCCTTGATGTCTTCTATACAGTCAGACCTCCATTTGCACAAATCTTGTACCCAGATCCCTCCATTCCTGTTTTACCTGAGATGCCCCCATCTGGGGGCTTTTACCCAGGTAGAATTTTGTTGGTACAGGTTGAGTCCCCCTTATGCAAAATGTTTTATCCAAAACTGTTTTGGATTTTTTTTAATACCTGTATTTGTACTATGAAATCCCAAACACTCCTGGATAAAACATTAATAGAGGTTGGAGGTACTCAACCTGTATCAACAAAGATGGAGGCATCTCAGGCAGATATGTGGGGTTTAGTTTTCAAAGAGGTAGTTCTGTCAACTGTTTCAATACGAAAAGGAAAGGTGGAAGAGCTACCTAGTGTCATCTTTCAAGTTAATCCATTTATTTTAGCACAGGCTTTCCTAGATCTCAGCCTGCTTCTTCCGATGCTTTGATTACAGTGGGATGTCCTGAGTTGACACCAGTGGAATTTCACTATCAACAGTATCTTTTCGAAGGAGCTAATTGTTTATTCCTGTTCATTCCAGTTAAAAATGCTTTCTAGTACAACTCCCCCTCCAACAATCGTGAGAGGTAAATTAAACTGTGAGGAAGTGACTTTTATGTGACCGTGCAGTGAGACTTGAACACTTATTTGTAGGCAGATAATTCTTGCAAATTACATCATATACATTGGCAATGTTTATCAGCTGAGCTGTTTGGCTGTAAAATGTAATGGACTTTGGACATGTTCAGAGACACTCCTTTTAATTATTACACATGTACACTGAAAAGACACTTCCTAGTGGAGTCCAACTGAACACACCAGATCACAACGCTGCTTGTGATGGGATGATGCTGGATGTCACCTTATCAGTCTCTTTGGATGCATCTACCCCAGTGGTTCCCAACCGTTTTTTGATCGGGGACCACTCTCCAACATTAGTACTGAAAGGGTTACAAATCAGTTTTGGTCAACTTTGGATTTGGTTTGGTTGTTTGGGGTGCTGATTCAGAAAACGTCATTGGATAGACCACATCAGCTCTAGCTTCTGATACAGAACATATGCCATGCAGTAGTTACCGTCTGCTCACCCACAGAAAACCACATTTAATAATCTAGAGCTGATGTGGCAGTAGTAATCTTTCGTGGGTACTAGTCAGCCTCTCCCCTCCCAACATCCCTGTTGCCTCTGCACTATAAGTGGGTTTTACAAGACCAGTCACTTTCATTGCCGTGTGGTTTCGAGGCAACGGTTTAGTAATAGTGAGGCCATGGACCATATTTTCATTCTTTGAGACAACTGGTGGTCCACAGACCACAGGTTGGGATCCACTGATCTACAGTGTAGAATTAATGCTGTATAACACCACCAGCACCAGTACTCTTTGACAGAGAAGGCTAAA